ACGCATGACGAGATACAGTGTCAACCGTTGCAAATAAAGTGTGATTTTAACAGTGTTCTGGTCGTTTATTGTTATTGCCACTGACAGGAGATTAATCTAATCTTGTCTAAAGTAAAGTAAAATTATGTCTAAAGTAAATTAAACGGGGTACGCATGACTAGATACAGTGTCAACCGTTGCAAATGAATGTGATTTTAACAATGTTCTTGTAATTACTGGTTCCCAGCCGTTATAGAGTATTATTCTACGTTCTTTAAACTTCGAATTGAATGCGTGACGAAGAAAAATGATGCCCGTTCTCACAAGTACTAGTTTCTAACTTCGTTAATGAAAATACAAATTCCAAAATCTTCTCGCGCCACTCGTCTAGGGCAGTTCTGTCCTGAACTTACGCACAAAACGTAATTAAAATCATGTAAATAAAATAATTCATATTTCATATTTCTCATAAATACTAAGACGGGGTTGTTGTTTAATAATTTATGATAAAATACAAATTATTCATTTATAAAGCTTCATTACAAGAACCACTAAATAATCTTCTATAACATTCAAAGTACTAGACATTTTTAGAACACTGAATCTCATATCGATTTCTAAAATAATCCTAGTTCGATGTAATATAGAACGTGGTTTTATGAAATAGATTAGAAATTCGCAGCCATTAGCTCGATATTGTCTTCAGTTTACAGTACTTTACCGATGACAATACCGATTGCCCAGGCCTCACCACGAGGAGGTTGCTGCGAGTGGAGGCCCAAGGCAAGTAGATGGAATCACAAGTTCTACATCTACCCACCTTTCACAATAAACCTTATAAATTACTTAAATCTTAACTATATAATACTACCGATACTAAAATCCCTCGGCGGATGACTTCTTTCTTGAGCCTAAACCTATAAAAAACTAAGTTCCCTCGTCGGTTGTCTTCGTTCTTCAGCTTAGAACTAATATTATCTTAATATTCTAATTAATACGAATTAATGCTAGTAATACGAAATAACAAATTTAACGCAATGTAGTCGCTAATACTCAAACGAAAGAGATAGACGGAATGGAAAAAGTTCCATCGATCATTTCGTTTACGCACCTAATATACCAAGCCAAAAATTAATTCTACGATGAACCACGTTAAACTACAGTATGAACAAGTATCGCGATGAAAGTGTTGTCGCCAGAACCTGGTTTAAGAAAATAGGAAAGACGGGCGCAACCTCGCAAACCCGAATCCATCTCTCACTTTCCAGGCCCTTTGGGCTGGTCACCTACGTACCAGACCCGAGCACAGGTCATGACCAAGTATGGTAGTGCAAGCGAGATCCCCTGTAAAACAGAGTCCTTTTACGGAGCAGACTCCCGACTACTCCGTAGGCGGGTACGTTGTACCCAGGCGCGCACGAGCCTTTACTCCAAATCCTACTTACCAGGCAAAGACTAAACACGTCCGATATCTGGCTTCTCAATAGAAACCAGAGGGATCGGCAAACAGTCTTAGTGCACAGGCCCACTGCCCGTACCATAATAGGTACAGACCCACTGCCCATACCCCAAGTCTGTGTAGAGAAATCAACGAGCAAAATGAATTAATAATAACTTGGTATGCACAATGGCTGATCACAATTTAAGTCTATTAATAGATAGACTAAAATTAATAATAAACGATGTGATGATGAATATGAATATAACAATGAATATCGAATTATGATTTAAGTTTAACTTACAGTAACTTAACGCAGTGGTAGACGCACGCTTTGAAGATGTAGACGTTGATCGATGTCTTCTTTCGATGGAATAACTGTTTGGAAAAATATTTTTCATTATACAATACACATAGAATACATAATATGCACAGTAAATAAATCACAGTAAATAAGAAAATAAATATCGAAGCCAATGGTTCTCGAACATCTGTAACATACAAGGAATTAGTAACAAGAGAGGGGACACAACAATATGCACAGTATATAGATTAGTAACATGCACAGTAAATAAATAAATAATATGCACAGTAAATAAATCACATTAAATGAATCACAGTACATAAGAAGATAAATATCGAAGCCAATGGTTCTCGAACATCTGTAACATATAAGGGATTAGTAACAAGAGAGGGGACACAACAATATGCACAGTAAATAAATTGATGGTTGTCGAATGCCTGCAACAAACAATGGGTTAGTAACAAGAGAAAGGACGAGTATGAGACGCGCGACCACCCTCCGCGACGGTTCACGACAAAGTGAGGAAGCAAGCACAGACCTGCACGGGATGGTACGACCTTGGTACACGGCGTACACGGCTAAGTCAATAAACTGGGTGACGCAACTCACTAGCGCGTTGGATCGACGGAGAGCACCGATACTCGGCACGCTCTACCGTACTCTCTCGCTCGCACACCTCCCTCCCATAGACCACCGAAATTCCTCGGCACCCGTCAACACCGACGGAGAGCACCGATACCGCGGCTCGCTCTACCGCTCTCGCTCGCACGCCGTGACGTCACCCGATTCCCGGAATTCTGCGACCACGAGATGGCTCAGTACGGTAAGGTATTACCGCAAAGAAAATTCTCGGAAACGGTTCAAGATTAGAAACTAAAATTTTACACAATTTAGTTTCTTGTGGTTATCAACAAATGCTGCAAATTCAAAAAAAATCGGTCATTAAGATCGCAGTTCTGTGCGTTTCGGCGTGGAATGGCTCGTTAATACCCGTTTTCAGGATGCTACAAATATATGCAATATACATATATCATGGAATTATTAATAATAAAATAAAAAAAAAAAAACCTCCGAAGTAATTATCATTCACTTTTGACAAGACAAGACTAACAATAACAATTCATTCATCACCAGTTATAAACACCTGTGTATGACAAAATGATCACGTAGTTCGTTTCAAAATTAGCTGCAAACAAAAAAATGTTCCATAATGTCAATAATATTGATTTCCCCCCATGGTAGGAGTTGGACTAGTTGAGTTACGTAGTAACTTTAACCATTAAAAATGTTGTAAACTTAACCGTTCTCATAACGTAGAGGGCAGCAGAAAATCCCTGACTTTTTACACGATCGGTATTTCAGAACATGAGACACGAAGTCCCATAAGATGATAGGTCTATCCTATACCTACTCGGTGGTAAGATGTTAGGTCTGTTCTATATCTTGTCTGTGGCACTAGTTGCCTAGTAGCTTAGGAATTTTGCCGTAGATGGCGCAGAGAGGATGTTCTACTACTAATGTCCGATCACAGAACAAGTCTGTGATTTCATTTATTAAACCGTAAACGAAAGAAACAACGTGTAATATGTATTTTTTGTAAATATTTTTACCAATTCAATAAGTTTATTTGTACCCTTAATTTGTCACGATTAAACTACCGAAATACGAAATCACAAACTAAGCAAAGTAAACATCCACTGTGCCAACTTCGTATCTACCCACAGAATTGTGAATAGAACTTTATGAAATGCATCAAACATGCATGCTTTTTGTTCACCTTTTCAAAAGAAAAAAAAGAATTGATTTTAAACCAATGAAAAACGTTAATCCATAAAACCATATAGTAACGAACGGACAATCTTTGTTTTGAATATGTTGGCTGACCTGTAATTGATTCGATTGCAGTATTACCACCGCCACAACTTATATTATTCTAAACTTTTTTTGAAAAAATGTGCGCACACAGCAGACAGGATACACACACGCATGCAGTCAGCCGTGTCGCGGCGAATCAGGAATAATTCGTGTGGGTGATAGTAAATGAGTCTACGCGCTAATGATCGGAGACCTTGCGAGTATGCAAGGTGATAGATAGCGTGCGAAGGATAGAGAGAAAGAGGACAAGCCGTGTGAAACAGCGGAAAAAGAGAGAAACAGGGCAAACGCGTTGAAAAGGTGGGGGAGTGAACGGTGTGTGTGTCCAGTGGAGGGCACTGTGCAGTGGCATAGGACCACGGTGGTGGCGGTGGGTGATTCAGACTCTTTATCAACCTCGAATATTCGTGGAGCACTACGGGAAGTGATTTCTCGACATCGGGCCGTCGATTACACGTACGAAATGAGGTGCCATTGATAAAACTTCGAAGCGCCGCGTGGTTCCGCCTCCGCCGTGCCCGAACGCGGCACATCACGGACGTGTGGATAAAGCGGCGCCATATATATGTACATACATACCCATAGGATATATATATATATATACGATATATAATCGTATTTTTTTGCCCGTTCGAGAGAGTGGACAGGAAAAAAACGGGGAAGGAGGCGAGACGAAATCCGCGAGAGAACGAAAGGAGAAATCACAATACACCAAGGGAGGTCGGCACGGAAAGTCGGCGCGGCGCGAGTCGAGGCGGAGAGGGATTCCGTGGATGCGGCGCGGTGTCCCTGCACCCGTGCGTGAATCACGCTTCGGAGGCGCCCGTCTGTCCCCCGTTTTCGTGTACACCTTACGCTGCTAACTCGCACGACATTGACCCGATACGAGGACGCTGCTACGAGTTGACTATAATTCGCGATCGAGGAATACCATAAAGGCGAGCACCCCGTCGATTAGCTTTACGAAACTGTCACCCACGAGGAGGGGCACTCTTCCTCGGGTCCCCGTTTCATGTCCTCCAACGCTCGTCGGAAACCTTTCCATCCGTGCTCGTGATACAGGGAGCCGGTATCGGAAACATTGGTCAGACAACGGTCTGGATCGTAAAGCAAAAAGTCACCTCTCCTCGTGATAATAGGAGTGAATGGCTCTTCGAATCTTATGCTCCCAGCAGACAAGCTGGTGGTGGTCTTGTCAACAAAATAGATTCGGTATTCACTGTGATTCAAACCCTTAGTATTTCTTCTTTCGGAGTATTATCAGAACGTCAACACGAGGACCGAGCCAGTCGTGTGGGCAGGAGGCAAAACAGAGTAATACAAGTGTTTTAAGGAAGGAAGCACAGTTGCCTGCAACATAGAATAGACTGGCAACAAAGGGACAGAAGCAAAGACAACATGTCAGATGAAGAAGACAAACCCCCTGCACCTCCTGTGCGACTCACTTCGAACAGGTAAGTCTTACGTTATAAGATTTACGACTGTATAGGACCTCGTGCTTGGTTAATAACAGGAATTTTTAATCTAAGTACAAATTATTACTTGTCATTTGAAATGTATACTGAATTTATTTCTGTTATCGTATGTATTTGAAATTATAAATAAGATATCAGAGCAACATTCACATTCATATATATTGAGAACCAATATGACTTTATCGTACACAGAATTCTTATTATTTTCTTTAAAATATACCGAGTCCTGCATCCCCCTAAAATAGAAGAACAGACTAATTTAGTGGTTGCTAAAAATAAAATCCTACAGTTCAGATGCAATGACATTCTGTTGTGGGAGACCATCCTTTTAAGTCTCTGCATGTAGACAAACTATAATGCAATGCATAAGTAAAATGTATCATACACGGTAGTTACATATCAATGATTTATAAATAACATATATAGAGTTTTATTTTAATATTTACTACCAGTTACATATTATTTAAAATTGGTATATTAAATATGGAAATTATAAAATTATTGTCCATTATACCTTCTATTTTAAATAATGTATTTTTAATTTAACATATATAGAAATATGGATGTTAATCTTTAACTATTATTTGTATATAGAATATTTAGAAATATATGTTCAAGCATGAGAGAACTTTATAATGTTTGATCAATACTTAACGATAAATTTGTATACTTAATGATAAAATGTTTCAGGGGTGAATTAGCACCTAATTTACCAGTGGACATGCGTCCATTGCCAAAAGAACCTGATTCTGATGAACGTAAGAAAAAAACATTAAAAAGCAAAATGAAGGTTAAAGAGAACAAGGACAAACCCAACATCAGTTATCCCACCAATTTTGAACACACAGTACATGTTGGATTCGATGCAGTCACTGGCGAATTTACGGTAAATTTTTTGTTGTCTACAATTTGTTACTATTGTTCAAAGTGCACTCGCTTCCTGCTTTGCTATTATACAATGGTACGGAGTATCCAAACAAACACTTTACAAACATAACATTATTTTATATCAATACATTACTGGTTAGATGAATGATTCCACTGTTTATAAAAAATAAGTATTACCAAAAAAAAACATTCTTTGTAATATAATACTATTAAATGAGAATTTACAATTAAAATTGTTTGCCACCATATTACATTAGATTTATTTTATAGAGGGCGTAACACATTATAATAGTTAAAATTGATAAAACCTTCAATTTATTCTTTCTTACAATTGATATCTTACTTTAATACTGGTAATTTCATTCACACATATTACATACTACATATTAAAATATGTATTCATTTGTAAGTTACATACAGTTCTATGGATGACCTGTAATGTATTGGTAAAGATTAATACAAGCAACTTTGTTCCTGAAAAAAAGATACAAGATATCGATGGATTTTCCGTACCTAAAAGAAATGAAATTTTCACCACCTGAATCACATATGTATGGACATTGTGGAAAAGTAATTTGGTAATTTGTCAGATGCTTCTTATACCTATTATTTTTTCACATGAAAAACTAACTAAACACGTATTTCTTTCAAGCTGCCATTAAAAGTAAGTAACTTTAAATGACCACGAGAATAGTGTGCCTGCATTTCTTATTATACAATAACACATGATTTAACTGTTTGTTTCTGTTGCGGTTAACGGAATTACGTTATCGTTTCATTTTTTGTTTATTCAAAATTTAGAGTTTATAATAGTTTACAGACCTAGCCGCTTCAGTAGATTAATACACGCTTTAGTCGACGTTGCATTTGATATTATTGCTTTCTTGCAAAATGAAATCGGACATTGGTTTGAATGCTTAAAATCCTTACTGTTTCTTCCCACACGTGGATTGGATTCTCAAGTATATTTTATATTTGCACGATGTTCTCTTAGTTTCTAAGAACTTAGAGAATTAATCTCTGCGAATAATACATCCCGTATCACTTATTTCTTCCCCCGTTAAATACATTTAGACGACGTCAATAACGATATTTTTGAAACATAATCTTTCATCCTAGGGAATGCCAGAAGCGTGGGCAAGGCTGCTCATGTCCAGCAACATCAGTAAACAGGAGCAGAAGAAGAATCCGCAGGCTGTATTAGATGTATTAAACTGGTATGATAGTAGCAGTAAAGAAACAAAAGGTTCTAAGTACATGACAACAACAAAAATGGTTGGAGTAGTTGGTAAGTTAATGCTTCCGTAAAGATAAATTTATACTATTCGCATTGTAATTTATCATGTGCATAAATCGAAAAATTGTAATTACGCTTTAAGCTCCCATTGAAAGAGCGAGTAGTCCTAGAAGCATGGGTATAGGTGTTGGTACAGGAGTGGGAAGTATTCGTGGGCAAGCAATGTCACAAGCTTCTGGAAGTTCCCATTCGCAGCATTCGCTCAGCAGGTGAGTCTTTTACACTTTTTGACCGACATCGACAACCTGTATGATTAAATATTCGTTGAGAAACAATAAAATTACAGAGTTAGTAGCAGTAGTCCGAGTAGTACGCCAACAGACGCTTGCGCAACTAGTTCTGAACAAGAGGATGAACCTCCGCCACCGCCGATTTCTGCAAGACCGGAACGTACAAAATCAATTGTAAGTAAATAATCCCTTGTATATAGAGACAAAAGTGTCGAAAGTTTGTACTATCGCTTGCACTATCACGTATCTGTTTAAAACATGTACATTCGTTGCAACAGTATACAAAGCCTATAGAAGAAGAACCACCGCCGCCGATAACTACCACGCTAGGTTCACCTCAACGGAATGGAACACCGCAACAACCGCATCAATCGCAACTGGATAGAAACAAAAATCAAGCAACTCCTACATCGACAACGACCGATCAAACGAGACCGGCGCAAAGCGACAAAGCTAGAAAGAAAAAAATGTCGGACGACGAAATATTAGAGAAGCTGAGAACAATTGTAAGCGTAGGAGATCCTAATAGAAAGTATACAAAAATGGAAAAAATAGGACAAGGGTAAGTTCACAACATAATGTTTCGTTTAACGCTAGGTTTACGGACATTTCTTGTACTTTTATCTCTACGAACACGCGTCAACGAAACCGCATATTTTCTTTAAAAAAACAACTTAATTTTTTTAATACTCAATTTACGATAGCATCAAGTTATGGCGTATCCGTACAGATAGAATAGAAATTGGAAGGCATTCGAAATGCGTTAAAATGACGCGTCTCGTAAACCTAGTGTTAAGAATATCGTGTCCTGATACATGTAAAGATTTGTCACGTCTATCTTCTAGTGCTTCCGGAACCGTATATACGGCGATTGAAACATCGACAGGGATGGAAGTCGCGATAAAACAGATGAATCTTTCACAGCAACCGAAGAAAGAGCTGATAATAAATGAAATATTAGTAATGCGGGAGAACAAACATCCGAATGTTGTGAATTATTTGGACAGTTACCTCGTAGGGGAAGAATTATGGGTAGTCATGGAATATTTGCCCGGTGGTAGTTTGACAGACGTTGTGACTGAGACTTGTATGGACGAGGGTCAAATAGCAGCTGTATGTAGAGAAGTTCTACAAGCTTTGGAGTTCCTTCACTGTAATCAAGTTATACACAGAGACATTAAATCTGACAATATCCTGCTTGGATTAGACGGCGGGGTGAAACTAACAGACTTCGGATTTTGTGCGCAAATCTCGCCGGAACAAAGTAAACGGACTACCATGGTTGGTACACCATATTGGATGGCACCGGAAGTAGTTACAAGAAAACAGTACGGTCCGAAGGTAAACATGTTTAACAAAATAAAGAGTACGATAAGCTTGGCGCGTTATATTCATCTGGTAAATTCAAATTTCAAGGTTGATATTTGGTCGTTGGGTATAATGGCCATAGAAATGATCGAAGGAGAACCACCATATTTAAATGAAAATCCATTGAGGGCGCTGTATTTGATTGCAACAAATGGCAAGCCTGAAATTAAAGAGAAGGAGAAATTATCGGCAATTTTTCAAGACTTCTTGGATCAATGTCTAGAAGTTGAAGTGGAGAAACGATCGGCAGCTTCAGAACTACTCAAGGTAATTCCAACAATATATATAGGGTGGGGCATTTAAATGGGAACATCTAAATATCTACGTTACTATTGGTCGTATGAAAAAATTCCAGAGGATAAAGTTGCACTGTCTCAAGGGGCTAATCCATTGATGAAGAACATTTTTTTTTTTTTTTACACGATTTCAAGGTCACCGGATTTTTTTTTTAATGGAATCATATTTTTTCGTTTATACTCTTATAGAAGGTGAAATTACAAATTTGACCACCTGGAAAATGTATCGTTTCGCTCATCTGTTCTCAAGATATTTACGTTAATATCTCCTAACGTCGTGGAACAAGTACTGGTTCACGAATTAATTTTGAAACTTATATAAAAAAATAACCATGAGAAAAAATGTTTTTCATCAATGCATTAGCCCCTTGAAACAGTGAAACTTTATCCTCTGGAATTTTTTCATAGAAGTAATAATAACGTAGATATTTAGGTGTTCCCGTTTAAATGCCCCACCCTGTATAGACAGAGTGAGTCACCTAACGTTTGCACCTCAAATGTCTGTTGTTTTTAAAGATACATCAAATGTGTTAAGGACAAAGTTGAATGGTTCAATGGGGTTCACACGGTATAAAAAATTTTTGTTTTTGTCATTTTTTTTAGAAATTTCAATGTCACATTCATTTTTAAAAATGGAATAACCATTTTTTAAACACCTACAAGGATAGTCCCTTTCATTAGGAATTCAGTAACTATAATTATTCAAGGTCATTCAACAAAAAAGAAAAGATAATTTTAAAAAATTAAGGTGACCTTGATATCTCTAAAAAAAAAAAAAAACTGACAAAAACAAAAAATTTGTTGGCATTGTATGTGCCCCATTGAATCATTTAACCTTCTCGTTCAGACATTTGACGTATCTTTAAAAACGACAAAGATATTTGAAATGCAAACGTTTAAGTGACTCACTCTGTATATATAATGTATTAAACAAAAGTATAGGGTGTGGTTTTTCTATATCAGTATTAAATTAACGAATGAAATACAGTTTAATTGAAATGTATACTTTTACGGTGAATTGCAGCATCCTTTTCTGAAACTAGCAAGGCCGCTTGCTTCCTTAACACCTTTAATAATGGCAGCAAAGGAAGCCGCGAAAGGTCATTAACGGCGGAATTCTTATTGGCGTTTCTGGCCATGCAGCATGACCAGAATGATTAAGTTTGCGAGTAAAAAGATGAATCACCCTCCCAAAACGGAACGGCACAATAATTCAATAATATATAATAAATATTGAATAAACATATATATAAATATATAAACATATTATATAAATATGTGTATATATATATATATACACACACAACAGGACAGACAGATGCATATTACATATATATACATATTTATATATATATATATATAGGTAATAGATAGATAAAACTTATTCGATACATTGAGAAGTATCGAGAAATGGTTTCAAAGTTTTTAAATTGCTCGATTCTCGCATGTTGCGAGGAGACAAAGTTAAATCAGAAGAACTGCGAACGATCTGACGGCAGAAATCTTGCGTTCCTCGACGAGTACTTTATTGGTCGGAACGAGCTCGCCGCGTCTTATTTAAATAGTTTGCAAAAAAAAAAAAGTAAAGTTGTACGAATGGATTGTTGCCTGAGGAGAGCTCCTGCGCCAATATAGAACTGTCATCGAGGATTACCAAGCGACTGTCAGTTATTTTCTAAAGATATAAAAAAAAAAAACAAACTAGTATTACTGACTCTAAAAATTGAAGATCAGAGTTAGCTACAAACATACGTTATTTATAGCGAGAACCTTATTAGATAATACCGTAAAACAAATGTGAACAAGTACATAGGACCTATTCTAATACATTATTATGGTTTAACAAGAAATCGTAGGAAGAAAAAGAAAGAAAAAAAAATTGGTCTTCGTGTCAGACTTATATTTTTCGAACGAAGTTACGGAGAGCCAGAGCAATATGTTTTTTCAGTCTTTAATCTGTCAGTATGACGTAGATATAAATAAGCGATATAGCCTAACTTGTTTTAAACGTTCCGAAGAGATATCGCGTTCTTGTCGCACGAATGGTTAGCTGACGTTCAAATGCGTGTTGTATTAAGTTATGAAGTTGTTTCACGGATATTTCGAAGATTCGGACATATTGCAGGTCTTTGGATTACGTTTAAAATATGTATATAATTTCTAAGAAAAATTGATTTCACCTTGCGAGGAAAGTCTATGATGAATTCAAACCGTACGGGCGAGTCTTATTTAAAGCTAATTAATTTTTAATCGTAAGGATAAAACAATAAGTACTTTTTCTCATTTGCATCGACGATGAGAGACATGTTGAGACATTGACCTTGTTACTGAAAATATATTAATTATTAAAAGCATCTTTCTATCTATGGACAATCGGTCCAGTCAACACGTGTGTGTTCTCCGAATACAAGTCGTGAAATGAAGAAAAAAAAAATGTCCTCGACGTGTCTTGCAAAGAAATGAACGGGATAAGCGACGAAATTTTAAAACAAGGTTCAGATATAGGAGCATTTTTGTGACACTATAAAGTGCCTGTCTTGTCATGTTTAGGAGACGTGAAAACACTTGCGCTAGATTCCTTGTAATCTTGAACCATCGACAGGAATAATTTAATATTTTGTTTAAAAGAAAACAAAAAAAAAATGCTAGAAAGAAACATACACCATTACGAGTCAACCGAGAAAAGATATACAGTGATTTACGTTGACGATGTACGAGACAAGATTTCTATATGGTTGTACTACATTAAACCTAATAATTAATGTCTTTCCTAATTGTATTATACCATAAACATAATATTATATTGCTGAAACGGGAAGCCTTGGACGTTTTAGTTTAAGGGTATACAAACTTTCAGACTTGTCATTTTTTTTCTTTTTTTTTTTTTATTCATTCGTTTCATCTTCATTATAAATGTAGGACTTTATTGTAAAGTACCGCTAATGGACGCAATGTGAGAATATAATAGATATCGAGGAAGTTAACGATATATTGCATATAAAATGAGAAGACGAAAAAAAATTGCAGATACAAGGAAAGCATACATTATTTGGTAATGAAAAAGTCGTATATGTAATAATGTATTCATTATTTACTGAGTTTATTGTTTTCTCGTAATACTATTATTAAAAAGCCTGATTAGTTACATTTCTTTTTTTTTTATGTTAATTAATAACGTGTAATTATACTTGACAAACGAAGCGGCTCAGTCTTTAACGCGCTTACACCCTGAATTTGGTATTGCATGCTGAATGACAACTTACATACACTGTTCATCTGCAAAGAATTGAGGGATTATAAAAGGATTATTCTAGCTATATCGCCATTACGTCGTTTCAGCATGCACTCTAAATTGTTACGGGAACTGTAAGCAATGTTAGGCGATATAGAGAACAAAAATAACTGTGCACATCTAGTATTAAATAACAAGCATAAACAAAAAAATACGTTGTCTGTAAACGGAAAAAAAATTATGCGATCCAGGGTCAAAATTGACGTTGAACTCGATCAGACACGCTGAACGAGGTCCTGCATTTTCACAAATATCTTTAGAAGATAAAAAAAAACTAACGTCCATTTTACGTCACTATATTTACTGCGGCAGTGATCGAACCATGTCAGCTAAAGCAGCTATCGATAAGATTTATTTTTATTCGTAAACCGAGGACAAGTCAGGTGTACAAACGTTCGCTTGTCCATATTTTTAAAATCCAATTAACGTTTAGGCATTATGAATATTCCGAGCGAGATTCGTTGAATTTGAACACAAGTACAAAAAAGTTGTATCGGTATGCCTTACTGTAATAAAAACTAAGCGCAATTCGCCAAATTAGAATCATTGTTATTATTTAATTGTTACAACTCGAATGGCAATAGTAGTACTAGATGCTTCAGGTTAGAACTTTTCGGATAAAAATGTGGACAAGGACGAACATTTTGTGCACCCACATCGTCTCCAGTTATCGTTCCAAGTGCATTTATGTATGTATTTCCGTAAGAAACGTATTCTTGTCGGTTTAGAACTATGAAATAGGTTCCTAATGCAAATCAAGCGAAGCACGTCTACACTCATGTTTTTGCAAGTGTGTTTTTTTGTACGATGTTTTTGAAAATGCTTTGTGATCTCAATATAGAAAGAAAATCAGGCCTAGCAGGTGAAGCCGTTATATTATTTACATATTTTATTACAGTTTTCAGCTTCCAAGTTTTAACGAGAATTCCATTTAAATCGTACCTCTTTGTATGAAATCGGTATTTATTATTACGAGAGAAAATTTGGTAAAAAAAATCTGGTTTCTCAGGAAAGCTAATATTTAAACAGTGTCGAATTTAAAAATGAAGGAAAGCAGGAAATGGATAATGAATTATTGTAAAAATAATGCCTAGAATTTGCATATATATATATTGTACTGTAACACCTTTTAGTTTGTTTTGAAACGTTACAATATAAGGAAACATTTTATAACAAAAGAATTATTCTTCCAGTGTGATCCTTTTTCCCTTCGCTGTAGCTTTAAGTCTCTCGATAGTATTTTGTAGTTAAAGCAAACCGTACACAAAATGAGGACAGAAATTATACAGTTTTTCTTGAAATAACGAATGGTTAATATAAATAACAAAATATTTTATACAACTTCTCGGTGATTTTTAGCAAATAAATAGTTATTGCTATTTACATATTATGCCCACTACATGTAATATCAAAAAATAATTCAATGCTTTTGCGAATTATTTCTTATATATTTTACATTAATTTGTTAGATTTTTATATTTTATACACACTAAATGTGGTATCTTATATTCATTTAGGGTGTATTTACAGAATTGGGACTATCCTAAGATTATAATATCGCAATAATTAATATTACGTAGTTTATCACTGTAATATGTGTAAGTACACATATTTGTTTTTCTATATGCAGTCTATGCCCTTCAATAATTGGAAAACAGCTTGAAGTTCACGAAGTACAGATACAAGAGTTGTTTGTAATAAATATAGAATATATATATATAAATATTGCTTGTAATGAATAACATGGAAATATTTTCTCATTATGCACGATGTTTGCATTTTCTTCTAAAGAATAACGAAAGTCCTAAACTGTAGTAGCAAAATCTAATTTAAAATATTATGCAAAGTCAATATTTGTTGAGAAATATAAATATTTTTCAGTACGAGTTGGACTCTGTAAACGTTTTGTAAATCTTATTTAAAGTTTTTTCTTTCCGCTGGTTTTACGATACTGTCTTCTTTTCTTCTCCTGCTGCATGAAAGTTTATGGATGCTGAGTTGATACAAAAACGCTTCCTTGTGGGCTTTGGGCCATCGTTAAACACATGTCCCAAGTGTGAACCGCATTTCGAACAGGTCACTTCAGTCCGCACCATATCTGGGTTTGCGATCAGCAGTAGTAGATTTCCACCAACTGTGCGTCAATTGTCGACGCAGTTTTCGTGTGTCAATGGTGAGAGTGAAGTGGTGGTAGCGGAGCAATAGGAAGACAAAGGAAATAGAATAATAGAGTGTGATTAACTGCAGACCAACACCTTTCTTTGTGCACTTTAAATGCTTTCCCAGTAACAGCAGCACCAAACAAAAGTGATTTGATATTATTAAAAGCAGTAGGTTGATTGTAAAAAATTCTGAAACCTCTGCTGTAAACAGTTTTATTAAATAAAATAAAAAATCGAAATAATAAGAAGCTTGAATTCAATGACATTCTTCTAATAATGAGCAAATAAGAAATATTTATATTCTACTTGTAATTAATACCCATAATCTTGTTCCTTGCTTTATTCATCCGTCGAAGGTCTCTTCAAATTTCCATTCCATATTTAATTATCTTGATATTGTATGACTGAATTCAAAAATTTATCAAAATCTTGAGATATATACAGATGTATACTTTTAAATAATAGATAGAAACATACACGATACAAAGTACCTCCTTGTGCAGTTACTAGGAGTTTTAGTATATAAACAATATTAAATATTATTCAAATGACTAATTTAAAGTTAATATATTCATGTTTATTTAAATACTTTTCTATACATAAATATAATTTGAACTAAATACACAAGATAAAAATGTTACTCGACAATCTATGTGAAAACATCAAATAATTTATATATGTAATCATACATATAACAACAAAATGTAAATTTAATTAAACGATTTGCAATACTACTTTAAGTGTACTAATGTAGTTATATTCTTTAAGCCAGAAGTTATAATAGTAGTAGATCATTAAAATCATGGTATAAAAAGCAAAAGTTGTATGTTAACTATTATACGAAGAAATAGCAAGATATGTTAATTTTTCTTTCTTTCATTCGTAAAGAAAAAATTATTTTTATGTACATCTATGGTCTTAGTTTCACACAATAGATGATGTAAGTCTAACACAATCACACTCTAAGCATTAGCATGCAAGGTACAGGATAATAGAGGGATATTGCCTTCCTTATATACTAACATAATTATCATAAAATCGTAGTAATGACTATATTCACTTCAATATTTATAAATATATATATAACAAAAACGTAAATCTTCAAAAAGAAGTTAATAACAATAATCGAATTTTCATGCATCAATGAAATTACAATGAAAAATTTTAATAATAGAGGAACTATATTAATGTAATCATATATATTTCTGTTATTCGTAAAACGCAATAAGGTTTATACGAAAGAAAAAGATATGTGTTATGGAAGGCTTAGGAGCAGCAGAACTAAAAGTTTAGGAACGGTTTTGTGAAAGTATGAATGTAAGAAAAATAATGAAGAATGTTTAAGAATGGTAAATAAATATAACTCTAAAATCCATGAATGTTATCCCTTGTTTCCACGTATAAATTAAACTTCACAGTGCAGAGTTTATTTATGTACCATTTAAGCAAATACTTTTAAATGACTGTAACATTACATATGTGTAATGAATACTATGTTATTGTACTAAGAAACCGAGCATTATTCTAAAAATATGTATCAGTAAATGTAAAATTTGTGCATTTGCATACCATGCGATGTATCTTTGGTTAACTTGACTCGTCCCTGATCCAATACTTCATTGAATGCAGGCCAACCACAGCCACTGTCATATTTGGTATCAGAAGAGAATAATTCTTGATCACAAATTATACAAGTATATGTGCCCTTTTCATAAAATTTGTTGTAACAGCCAGTATAGGGCCTGCAAAATGAAAAAAAAAAATGGTTAGCAGCATGAAGAAGCATGCAGAGCAGGAAGTTAATTATGAACACCTATGCTTTATTTTTAAACTACTCGGTCATGACGCAAAGTCAAGCCAACACATGCTCTTGAAAAAGTTATTTTGGTCTCGCATCATCTGAAAGTAAACCAGTTTCCACCATATTGATAATATTTTTGGAAAAGTGTATCACGAATAATGTGATTGACTCGAAAGTATATAATTAAAACCGTAATAATATGCAATTACGATTTAGGAATCATTAGAAAAATTAATGAATAAATAAAAATCGGTACATAGAATCAGCTGATGCATGATTAACGTCTGACTTACGCATACATGACCATACAAAATAAATTATTAGTAACATATTCGTTATAGAATAAAAAACAAACGGACAATTTTGCTTTCATTCAGTATTGAAAATTTCCAGTTCCATAAACAATTGGAAAGTTTCTGTTGTTTATACATACAGAATCGTACACAGTGCATGCTCGGAAATCACGGGTTACTGGAAATACTTTATCATAAAAAGCAAACTAGCGTCACTCGTGTCGTTTGCTAAATAAGCAAGAATAATTCCATGGAGACCCAATTCCATATAATAAAAAAATTAAAGTCATGTCATACGTACCGTTCCGTACCCTTTTCTTGCGTTACATGCCACTGTATCGGCGTCAAACGCTTTTTTAATTCTTCCTTATCGATTTCCGTAGTCATTCTTCTGATCGCTCCTTAAAACAATTTAAAAAGAACGTGGAATCAAATAGTGATTCCAGCAACACGAAAAACAACTCGATTCGTCTTGCCGCGCTTTCCCTCGCAACTATGCAACTATACGGCAAAGAGAACAGAAGCGGCACTCCGCCTGTTCCTTTGAGGCATGAACGATCAGATTTCGTGACCTTGGGTCAACCAATCAGGTCCTCCGACGAGCAGATTTGATAATTACGTTATTACGATGACACGTGGCTTCTACTTGTATACAGTAAAACTAGGTAACACGCGACTTGACGCGACCAGAATAAGTTTTATGAACAATGTCGTTCAAAATATAAAATTCGAGGCAATATCAATATTCAACGTTTGTTCATTTTAGCTACGTTTTCATTCAAAAACAAAGTGGCTAATGAAAATTTACAGTGTCTCTGTACATTTAATTTAATAAGAAGATTAAGTTCTATCGTTTTGTGTCATCATGTTTTGTAATTTTTATCTTGTAAGTTTAGAAAAAGGTAAATATACACTCAAAACAGTTCAGTGTTCTATTACTATTTCCAGTGTAGTTTTTTGAATTGACATTATCGAAAAAAAATTTCACAAGCATATACGATTTTTATATGATTTGATTTTCTCAGCAATCAATCCATAAGATGTTGGTTACATTGTCTGAGTATATTATATTAATTGAGCTGCACCTATTCAATAAAAATAAAACAAATTATTTCAAGTCACCCCAAAATTCTAATCAATATGATTGCTTTCAAATGAAATGCGTAATTTTTTCTTATCGTACGTGATGAAACGTCATCATCAGATAAAGAATAATACGATAAATGAGTAAGTAATTTGTGAAGATAGATATTAAGAATGGTCTGACTAAGTGAAATTAAAATCCAAGTTTCAGTAAACAATGCAACACTCGAAATTATAAATCAATAAATATCCGTATTAATTTGTTTTTTTTCTTCATAAAAACTGCTTCAATTTTATGTATTTTAATAACGTGTTTAACCTAACTGACGTTCAGGAAAAATTCAAGAGGGAAATCCAAGAATCTACTAGCAATGCAACACAAACCTCTTTGAAGTAATAAATTCCTCGTGAGCAGAGTTAAAGGTCGTAGACGTATTGACATATTTCTGTAAATAACAGACATTATTGAAATAAATTTTTCAAAATAATCCCGTAATGATTGTTGTGACACTGCTCACATTCTTTTTTGCCGAAGTGTTGTATGTAATTTCGTACTGTCAATGCTAGGTCATTATTACATTGTTGCACAAGCGTTAATATTGTTTACATAATAAATACGTCTGAATGCATTACACGAATTAGTATCGTCATTTTGTCCTTTTCCTTTTCGTGATTTTAAAATAAGATGGATTCACGTCAGCTTCAGAAAATGTATCCTTTTGGAACACACCGCTGTTCGTGTTTTATGACCAATGGTAATGTCTTGTGTGCAATGAGTTTGTGTTCTTTTTCTGTAGCGGCCTCGACGCGGCAAATCTCGAGAGTCTGGGCGTCCGGTGTGAATCAACACGATTTTTCCGCACAACTTTTCATAAATATGTTGTGCTAGTGTCTTAAAGGCTAAGAACGATGAGCTTCTCTAGCGATGAAGTCAATTTCTTGGTTTACCGATACCTCCAAGAGTCTGGTACGTTAGTCAAAACATTTCCTAACCTCTTCTAGAGCATTCGTATATCAGTAACGTTGAATTTCTTTTGTTTATACATGTATATTTCGTACACGATACGTACAGTATTATCACAATAATTACCAAAGTTAATGAGGCTATTGTTAACGTACAATCTATTATCAAGTATTGACATGATAGAGGTAGGCAATTATTTGAATGTTAATTAGGGTGTATCAGTGATAATACAAATGAAGTTACACTGCATACCTATCGAATTTCTTGTGCAAAATAAGATTGATTCATTGTTTTTATAGGATTTCAACATTCTGCGTATACATTCGGTATAGAATCACACATATCACAGAGTAACATAAACGGAGCATTAGTCCCACCAGCAGCATTGTTATCAATACTTCAGAAAGGATTACAGTATACAGAAGCAGAGATATCAATAGGCGAAGATGGCACTGAACAAAGAATGGTGGAGTCATTGTCTCTTATCGATGCTGTCATGCCAGATGTTGTCGCATCAAGGCAGAATCAAATTAACCAACAGAAACAACAGGTGAAAACGGAAGTGCAAGATACGAATGGCGAAGAAGGTAATCTTAGCTTATTATTACCGATCACTTTTAAAATCCTGGCATACCCTGGTCTATGAAAGTATTCAAATTTTATAGACCTCCTTTTCAGGCCAGGTAAATTAAAGGACTGCTTTAGTTTTTGGATTTGTTGTGGAGTGGAAATATTTTATTATGCCAGTTGCGTTAAAGTACTTTTATAATTGTTTTTTTTAAAATGAATTTAAGAATATATCTAATTTGTTCAAGAAAGCACTGGTATAGAAAAATGCAGCTCAATATTGAAGGCACAACACATCTGTGAATCGGGAGCGAACAGTATCATCATTGTTATTTAATTTTAAGAAGGAGAAAAGTGTTTGTCTTAATATGTATTAATCAATTTACAGTTGTAACCTCCAATGAAGGTGTAGGCACAAATGAGAGAGGAGGGGATAGAACAGAAATGGAAGTAGACGAACAGCAGCAAGGTTCTGGAGGAGGAAGTACTGCTAGTGCAGTTGAAATCCCAGAAAGTAAAGCTACAAAATTACGCGGTCACGAATCAGAGGTTTTTATATGCGCATGGAATCCAACAACCGATCTGTTGGCATCTGGTTCGGGAGATAGTACCGCCCGTATTTGGGATATGTCGGACAACTCTCAAGCACCGAATCAGCTTGTTCTTCGTCACTGTATACAGAAAGGTGGTACTGAAGTACCAAGTAACAAAGATGTCACTTCATTAGACTGGAAGGTACGTGAAATGAATCTATATTTATGTAAATAATTTATCTAAGAAGATAATAAAACGTTAACCACTTTGTTTCCTCAGTGCGATGGTACCTTGTTAGCAACAGGAAGTTACGATGGATATGCAAGAATTTGGAAAACAGATGGTAGATTAGCTTCAACTTTAGGTCAACATAAAGGTCCAATTTTTGCGTTGAAGTGGAACAAACGTGGAAATTATATACTAAGTGCTGGAGTTGATAAGACAACGATCATATGGGACGCAGAAAGTGGACAGTGCACCCAGCAGTTTAGTTTCCACTGTGCACCTGCCTTAGATGTAGATTGGCAGACAAATACATCGTTTGCTAGTTGTTCCACGGATCAGTGTATTCATGTGTGCAAACTTAATGTGGATAAACCTATTAAGAGCTTCCAAGGTCATACGGTAAGTGGGTAGAAGCAGATAAATTTGTTTTTATTAGGCTATATCTTTACTTGCTTTATCAATTGCAGAATGAAGTTAATGCTATTAAATGGGATCCTCAAGGCAATTTGTTAGCTAGCTGTTCGGATGATATGAGCCTAAAAATTTGGTCTATGAAGCAAGATACATGGGTACACGATCTTCAAGCTCATAGCAAAGAAATATACACAATTAAATGGTCACCGACTGGACCTGGAACTCACAATCCAAATATGAATTTAACATTAGCTAGTGCGTCATTCGATTCGACAGTGAGATTATGGGATGTCGAAAGGGGTGCATGTATACACACACTTACGAAGCACACAGAACCAGTCTATAGTGTCGCATTTAGTCCAGATGGCAAATTCCTTGCAAGCGGAAGTTTCGACAAATGTGTTCATATTTGGTCTACTCAGGTAAGACAATCACATCTATCTATTTTTATTGTCTTTTTATGGAGTTCTTCTAGCATTACATATACCTTATATTTAAATCTGCAGAGTGGTCAATTGGTGCACAGTTACACAGGTACAGGGGGAATATTTGAAGTCTGTTGGAATAGTCGAGGGGATAAAGTGGGTGCTTCTGCATCCGATGGCAGTGTGTTTGTTCTTGATCTTCGTAAACTGTATTGTTCGACTTTGTACTTTTTAAAATACCAGCCAGGTTATACGATTGTCTGATTTATTTGTGCTCGTGGAATATAGTTCGGAAGAGTATTAATTTATGCACAGGACCGCTGAATTGTTTCAGTGGCCTGTGTGTCGGAAAATTCCATTTAAACGGTTAAACGAATTTGTAACTTTTCTTTAATTCTTTTCCCGAGATTTTGTTAAAAAGAGTTCAGAAGAAAAGTATTGTACATTAGTATTTTCAATTATGACACTCTGTACAGTGAAACAGTTTGACAGACATTATATTTCCAGAGAAAAATAAAATACGATCTTCATTCACTAGAAGTGGATGGGGTATATGTTGTAATTGTAATAATAATGATAATAATACTAAGTATTATATAAACAACGATAATAACTAAGACAACAAAAAAATAAACTTTTTTAAAGAACAGTACAGCAATATGAATTATTTTGATTATATTTTGTTATGCTTTAAAGAAAGCGGTTGAGAGGGAGGTGGGAATTAAAATGTACAGCACACCTGTCTTAAATGAAATTTATTTCATTTTATCTACGTTTTGTGCAATTTAAGTCATTGGAATAAACAAAACATCGAATCGAAAATAAATAACAATATTATACAATTTCTTTAAATAAATAGCTTAGAACTACTATATGCACAGTACTTTTAGAATGCATATACATTTTTTTAACAAGTTATATATCAGTTATATAACATGTAAATAATGATATAATATAGTTATATCTATTTTCTAACATCACCGTAAACATCCGAAGCGTTAATTGTGTTTCATTACTACATTGTTATATTTTTTGAGATATAAACACGTGTAAATAAATATGTATTTAGCATATAGGCGGATAGATAAACAAAAGTTTAAACGAAACAGGTAAATAACGAAATTAATAACTTTTTCAAGCAGAAGAGAAAAGTGATCCATTATGATTCCTTTGTTTCAAGATATTTATTTGCCTCGTACTTTTAACACGGCTAAAAATACTTAGGACTAAAATTCGTATAATCGGAAAACAAGTAACGCTTCGATGTATTACGTAGATATAATGTGTATATATGTAACTTTTAGGGGCAAGCGTTTTAAACGTAGCATATACATTAATTGGTAACATATACGAAAAGAATAATTGATTTGCACATAATACAGTATTTCTTTGGTATACCCATCTGACTGAAACATAGTCAATTCCATTATCACGTGTCATTGTAAGGATGTATGTAGATATCATGGAATGTATAATAGCGTTTAACATAAATGAAAATAATATCCAACAAAGAAACTGTTCACTCAAAAGATGCTTAGGTAGAGATATTTTCTTGAAACATTTATTTTCAATTACATTTGTTTGTTCGTACGAGTGAAAGATATTGAAAACAAAATTATGGATCAAGGTGTACCTAAAAAGAAAACACAATTACATTACATTAAATGTACAATCTTTCCCTTTGCATATAACATTTACATTCTGTTACAAATAAATAGTAAAATATTGAGGTGAGCATATAATTATTTCAAACAGTTTCTGTACAGTCGAGAGGTTCTATTTCATAATAATTTGTGTCTTCGCGGTTGGTTTCAGAGTTGGAATATTTTCACCTTTAAATAATCACAATAAAATATACTGCGGTATCCCCGTCGGTATGCTCTTAAAACTTAACATTAATATGACGTAACATTTACAATAAATTACATTAAAAGTTGTACGTCGGATGTCTAATGCGGAGGTTATCGATCGGACAGACTTGAAAAGATCACAACACATAATACTGTTCTGTTTCATGATTCTGTGTAATTGGAAAAGGAAAGAAAAAATAGAGAACAATTAGAACGCAGATCTCGGAACTTCGGTATCAGGTTATTACTTCGAGCATTGAACTCTTATCGCTAGCTTTTCTGCGTAATATATACCAAGAGAGGTTCCATGTGTGTCACTTCTATTATGTCACTTCTATTCGCTTCCTTTTCTGGATATGAAATTAAGCTAGCTAAATCAAAGAAGGAATACTGGAACATTCTCACGGCTTCGTAAAATCTTCCTGAGCTATTGGAAACCTCACGGGCACACGGCCAATAAATCTGCACTGTGCTCTACACCGGAGTAATTTGCAGGTAACAGTCAATGGATGGAACGACGAAACCAAAATTATGTTTCTTGTTACGCCACTGAATGTATACATGGGCAATATTATGGTGTAACGGAAACATGAAAAACATGACGAATAAATACACAAATTATATGGTAACTGGCTTGTCAGTTAAAAAACCGTAATAGCGAGACTTGATTGTGGTGATTTCCATCCTGTTCTTCGGGGTTGATTAGAGTAGATGTAATTCGTTCGCCTGCACCTGGAAACAAATCGTTAACGTTCACCTTCTTTGCCTAAACCGAAGTCTAACCAAAATTTTTATTTTTATTTATCTCTCCGTAGAATTCGAAGCTTTCTATTGCAATGTTGGGCCAGTTTGATTATACATATAATAAATAGTACACAATACACAGTGGACTCTAACTATATTGCCACGCGAGGCACTTCCCCTTTAGGCGTACTTTCGAGCATACAAATTCGCTCTCCCGCCACGTTAGTGATGGGCACCATCGACTAAAAACTATCGACTAAGTCGATAGAAACCAACGACTACTTTCAGTCGACTAAATTTAGTCGCTTGAAGTAGTCGCTTCAAGCAATTCGCTCGAACTATCGAGCTATTGATCGGTATTGACTGGATCTTGATTATTTTCTTCGCGATGCAAACCAATTGTAATTTTTCCATATATTTTTTTATGCATTACCAAAGCCTGTGCAAATTATTGCTTATAACCTAATTGAGTTTCATAAAAAATTTAGAGCAGTTAATTTTTTAAGTACGAATATTAAATAGCTTACAAAAACTCGAATATTAGTAATTGTTTAAAAAAACTAGCTTATCACTTATATTTTTGAAATTCTATCTATGAACTAATAAATTTCCAAAAGGTAAATATACCAATGGTGCTGAAAATTTGATGACATAATCTATACATAACCGCTAAAGCAAAATTTCAGTCGACTAAAAACTATCGACTAAATAGTCGATAGTATGTCGCGATTAAATAGTCATTAGTCGATACTTTAATTTAGTCGATGGTGCCCATCACTAACTATAACTCATCATTGAACAAAACAAAAGTACACTCTGTTCATGACGAGTATACTCGATATAAACATCGAAAGGTTTAAAAGAAGAATCTAGGAGAGGGGAACGTGAGATCTGCTAGGATTCCCCGAAATTACCCTTCGTGTTTGATCGTCGTGTCTCTCTCGATAAGCGGCGTCGTCTACTTGGAGCCAGTCGTCGAGCCTTCCCGGGATCCTCTCCGGCGCGAAGCTACGATCGCGGCTCCTACCGTCCTGCCCGAACGTGAACTCGATCCCGTTCCTCGATCTCGCGTCGACGGGCCTGGACATGCCGCCGGTGTACAGTGGCAACGATCGTTTACCGATCACGTCCAGGAGACGACGATTCGCGTCGACCTGCTGCTGATCCTGCATCGCCTTGCGTCGCGCTAGCTCGAGGAGGACCCTCTGACGCAACACGTCCAGGGAGTTTACGATTGACAGAGAGCCGATCCGTTTGGTCCGGACCACCGTTGATCCTGGATCGTTACCCGAGTCAAACATTTCATTCTGAAAAATCGTTGGTTCGTGTTAATTCTGGTAGTTTCGTACGGTGTTATACAGGGTGTAACAAAAATGTTGGAGGGCCCGGAAATGGGAGACTCGTTAGGTGATTTGAAACAAGTTTCTCTTCAGCGAAAATGTTATTCGAGGCTTTGTTAACGAGATATTAACGAAAAACACCGACCAATCGGAGCGCGAGTCTGTCAGCCAAGTTCCCGCGGTAGCGTTGGTTATGTGCTACGATTGGTAACCAACGTTACCGCGGGAACTCGGCCGGCAGACTCGTGCTTTGATTTCGGTACTAAATTAAGTACTTGCTATCGAAACGAAAGTACTGATTATTTATTTGTATTTACTTGGATCGGTTCATTTGTAATTATGAATAGACAGTGGGATTCTTGTGTTTATTAATATCGATGAATGAACGACTACAGTGAAATTTCTATTATCGGAGACTCCGAAATACAGATTATATTGGAACACAGATCGTCAACTACCTGAAAAATCGTTTATCAGAATGGATTTGCCTCACTGTTAGTTCGGATGTTCGAGGTTCTACTGTACTTCGAAAGACAATAGTAACTATGAATATTAAGAAATAATTAAATATTCTATAAATGAAAGAAATAATATTTCAGCAAAAGTCTAGTATTTAAGACACGGTTTATTAAAAAAACAAAGAGCTCAACTGGCCCATTTGGATGAATACGTGAAACAATCAAATGGTTCGCGCAATTACCCCTTTAGCCGACCATTATTCTTCACGATTAAATTTCAAGTTATTCATTTAACCTTTCCGAAGCGTCGTTACCCAGAACTCTTTCATTCGAGTAATGGATCGACTTCGTTTCGATGTAAAAAAACGAAAGTATTCTCGTACGGTCTCCGTAACCCCTTTTATGGAGCACTTAATTTTTCCAATGTAGAGGGGGACGGGGAGGGAGGAAGAAGAAAACGGAGAGCCAACAATGTCCAGTCGTGGAATGGAGCAAAAGCGAAGGTCGTCACGGTGCGAGTTCACCCTTGTAACGCGCGAAAATTATTTAGGTTTCATTGCCGAAACGAGGAATAATTTCTGTTTCCATACCCTAAGTGGATTTACCATAGACAACCCTTAACTTCGGCTGGTGAGGTATACCTGCGATCACCTGCGAACTGGGCGATACCCTGCCATAAACCGTTTCGGCCATCGATGACCAGGATCGGTTCAGTGACCTAGTGACACAGGTTTGCAAACTGCAGGTGAATTACCGAAAGGGTGAGTTCTAATCAATTTATTGCTGATTATTATTTTCTTAATTTAACGCAAGCTATGGCTTATTTCCGGCGATAATTCTGCAAGTTTCTGTACCTAACTTTTTCTTCGGGCTTTTTGAAGAAATTTATTCATTATCAGTAACATTGTTGACAGTTATTAAACTACGAATTTTTATACCAATACCAAATTACGATCACTTCTCGTTTATTCTCTGTTACATTACCTTTTCGTTCACACGTTATTGGAAAATGAAATTTACAAATTCGTAAAAAGGAATTTACAAAAATGTAAATGTGCTGATCCTGTCTTTTTACGTGACACATAATTTGCCTACGTTTAAATAACAAACGACAGATGATAAAAAGTATGATTTCATTTGTTACGTCTTGTTTATTTGCTGTTATTATACGCGGTTTCCTGCGATGCATGGTGACCTACTTGTTCGGAGTTTCGTAGTACAAGCGTAGCGCGTAGCCACCGCTAACGCGGGAACTCGGCTGGCAAACTCGCGCTCTGATTGGTCGCGGTTTTTCGTTAATATCTCGGTAACGAAGCTTCAGTTTACATTGTTGCTAAGGAAAAAGTTGTTCCAATTCACCCCCCGAGTGCCCCATTTCCGGGTCGGAGGACATTTTTAGGACACCCTGTATAATAGACTGCGTTGTCTTATGGTAGGGATGAAGCGAGACCGAAGGACAGACGTGGCAATGGAGTCCTCTCTTACTCGCACATCGCAGAGGGTGAGGGAAAAGGGGGAAAAAAGTTATAAGTCATAGTTAACTAAACAGAAGCTGTAGTTTCTGATTTAATAAATACCACATAGTATGAACATGCCTTTCTCTCATCTTAGTTCTACTATTACTTTTGACAAAATTTTCGAATATTAATTTTCATGCATATAAACAATAAAAGTGTTAACGGGATGGGATTACGGGATATCTTTATGAAATATTCAAAGTTATTTTTGTTTCAAAGTTACTTATGGAACCTTCTGATATTATTTTGCTCAGTTACTTGTTTATATTGTATTTTAACGTAGTTTATCATACATTTAATAACAGCTTGGTACATATTAGGTGCGTAAACGAAATGATCGATGGAACTTTTTTCATTCCGTCTATCTCTTTCATTTGAGTATTAGCGACTACCTTGTGTTTAGTTCAAGTTCGCTCGTATTAAGATTATGTTCAATATTAGAGTCAATATTAGAGTGTGTGGGTATCCGAAATCACGGGATTCCCGAGACTCGGGTTGGGTCGGGATAAGTCGGGCGAGAACGGCCGGGATCCCGACAGTATAAATCGCATCGGGATCCCGACAGATGTCGGGTCCCGTAACGTATTTGGGTCCCGAGTGATATTTTCGAGAAGTTTTCCCTCTAACGGCAAAAAATTATACTATACAATACGATGCCATACTGAATCTTCAGGTTCATGACATGAACTATAAATGCTAAATAAGTTAACGATTCTAAATGGAATCCTGCGGTTGGACAGGGTTAATAATACAATCTTCAGTACACATGTCTTCGTACGTTATGTTTTTATTAAGTAAAATAAATAAAGTGGCAGTATTAGGGACATTTAATCTATCATACAATATACAGGCATATATAATATTATTTTAAATTATAATGTAAAAAACATAATTATTGCCGAACAATGTCGAGGAATTATATTAGCTCCAATAATCGACGATTTACTGTGTTCATCTTCACAAATGGAAGTAAACCTGTATCGAACATATGAGCTATATTTCTTACACACGTAAACGTTCTGAAAAAAAATAACGACAGATCACCGTCGAAGAAATCAAGCGCGATACACATTCATTATGGGGAAAAATGAAAAAAAAGAAAGAAGAAAGGAACCGTGAATAGAACGATCTTCGTATATGTGCAACGTTCCACCGACCCGCATATTTCCCTCGTTTTATTGCCACTTCCGTGTGTAACATGCGCTCCCAGAATATGAATAAAAGCTCCTGCAGCTATTTTACGGAAGAGGGCGACACGCACCTGCGCCCAGAAGTCTTCGCGTTCGGACGTGCTTCAACTTTCATCCACGTTTCCCGCCCGTGATTCACGCTACGGATTAGAAGGGTCATCTGATGGGAAGAAGGAATCCAGAAAGTCTTCAGTGATCAGGAAAAACTTTGGAAAATATTAGGTTGATTCGAAAAGTTCCGTTGGATTTCGAGCCCAGCATCTTTATCGTATTTCTGATGGAGTGGTGGAATGTGTCGCCATCTCTCGTCGTGTCTACATGTGTATATTAGGGATGTTCGATTCCGATTCGATTCTGCAGAGGATCAATTTTTTTGAGTAACACGTCACTGCAATTTATAACACATACACTAACGGCCAAAAGTATATATGGGACCAGGTCTGATAATTAAAATATTATTCTAGAAAGAGTTAATGAAGGTAACGTGTTTAAACTGACAGAATGTGATTTCTATATGTATTGATTCCGTAACTTTTATTTTATTGTCACAGAATAATGAGTTAACGTTCCATACTTTTGGCCGTTACTGTACACTACGTGGCTTAACTATAAAACCAGTCTAAAATTTTCAATTCTTATGTATTGTGGTGAAAATAAAAACGAACCAAGTATACCATGTCTGAAATCGTGTTGAGAAATAATGTTCCTCCAGAAAAGGATAAATTTTATTCCCTAGAAAGAAAGTCGTTCGTTTTAATTTTAATCACAATACATAAGAATTGAAATTTTAGGGTGGTTTTATAGTTTTGCCACGCAGTGTATGTGTTATAGATAGCAGTGACGTGTACTCAAAAGAGTCGATCTTCTGAAGAATCGAATCGGAATTGAACAATCCCTAGTGTATATACAGTCGAAGAAAGAAGTATTCGATACACTAATGGCGCTTATTACAAAATGACAATACTATTTTCACTGTGACGTTGGGTTAAGAATGATTTATTTTCAGGTATACTAAAACAAGTTTGCTTTATATTAAAGTATAATGTGATGGAGATACCATTTTGAACCTGTCGTTACCCTAAAAATAGTATCGCCAAGTAATGGTAGAAGTCATTTGGTACGAATCGTCACGAAAAATCATTTGGTACCGGTGAACAGGTGTTTTGTTACAGGTTACAGGTATATTTTCATTAGACTGTTTATCAGACTTTGCACCGTCGGATGATTATTTATTTAGATTAGTGAGATGTTCTGTGCAATGAAAAAACTTTGAAAACGAAAATTCGTCCAATAGTAGGTTAACAAAATCTTTTAACCAAGAAAAATGTGAAATGAGAAAAGTGTGAAAAAGTGGTATATAAATATGATATAAATTTGAAATTATAAATCACAATGCTACTCTTTTTATCCTTTGAGGGCAGAAATAATTTCTACCAGTTTCTAACCTTCATCCCTTGAGGGCAAAAAGGAGTTCTAACAATTTCTACCCTTTCTGAACAACTGAATACATAAAATTAACCCTTTGATTACGGATCTCCCCGAAACCGAACGCTTACTATGGAAGACGCTTCTCTATCTATGATTACGATCGAAGAATTTCCTTCCCGTGCCGCGTACTAAACAGGAAATATCGTCTCGGCTAAAAAATACTGAATCAAACGAGTCGAAGTGATCATTGCAGAGAATATTTGCATGTGTATTAAAATCGGTAGATATTATTGTAAATTAAAGTAAATACAGAGCAAATATAAGCAAAATAAAAACTGTTCTTGTCTGTTTATCAAATGTGGAATATTGTTACGTTCACTAAAACGTGAAAACTGCAAAAAAAACCGACATTACAACATACCAAGAAATTTTTAATAGTCCAAATAAACGAGACAATGGAAGAAAATGTCGAAAACTTTAAAAAATATTTATTCCCACGTTAATATACCACTTATTCTATTTCGTGAATACTACTTACAACAGGCGTTTAACCCTTGAACGGTGGAATTTTTTGTTTTAGAAACGTGTAAAGATTTGATTCCTTTATTCTAATAAAAGGAATTTATTTTTTTATTTTTACTAAAATTTCAATTTTTAAGTGGTAATTGACGAGTATACTTGTCGTTACCCACAAAATGGTCATTTCCTCGCGACGAGTATACTCATTAATGAAAAAGTATTTTATTTTTCCACGTGACGAGTATACTCGTCGTTATCCAAAATGTGATAATTTCGTCGTGACGAGTATACGCGTCAATCAAAAAGAATTTTATTTGTTCACGTCAGAAGTATACTCGTCGTTATCCAAAATGTGATAATTTCGTCGTGACGTGTATACGCGTCAATCAAAAAGAATTTTATTGTGACGAGAATACTCGTTACCCAAAATGTGACCATTTCCTGGTGACGAGTATACTCATCAAGCACCGTTAAAGTGGCAGGTATTATTTTCTTGTATATAACACGGTAATCAAGTTCACGCATCGATCGTCTGTCGCATAAAATTATAGAAACATTGCCTAATTATGTAGTCTCATTTTTATGCAGATAAATCTCACCTGGGGGAAATTGGGTGCCGTGACGTGCCTCGTGAATAAATTCGAGCCGTCGAAAAAGCAGGCGTCTTGTTTATTAAAATGGTTGGATAATTTTAAAAAAACATTTCAGCACCCTGGTCAGAAGTTACTAGGAAGTATGTATTGCATGTGAACGTTAATTAACGGCATTTCGCGGGTGTCTTTAATTAAACGGTCGCAAGAACGACTCCGTCTCAAGGGGACGGTGACAGGACATTTATATGCGCGACTCGAATCGTTCGAATGTCCTTATTAATTTCCATAAATTATTTTGCAGCATCCGTAGGTCGTTTGATTAAACAGGGAGAAATCAATTATTTCACAGGTGCGATTCGGTGTGTATCATCTCCACGGTTCGTGTCCATTTTTATGCAAGCAAATGATTCCACTGTTTATACAGGGTGTTCCGGAAACAAACGTGCTAAACACTACAGGTGTAGTCTACTCGGTCCACCATTTTTGTTTTAACTGTTCAGATCGATTTATCGCGAAATGGAAGCTTAATTTATAATTATGCAGGAAAATATAAGTCAATTAGTGAATGTATTTGAAGCACAAACTTACGACAATTTCGAAGCGAATTACATAATTAATACGAACTGACGAAATATAATCGACTCTAAATGTTTTTCATGTTTACTTTGATTATCATTTAATAATAAAGATAAATGTGTTTCCTATACTCTAAATCCAAATCGTATACAAATGTATGAAGACGTACACAATCCAGTTCCACAATTATTATGCTTTCTATTATGGAAATTAGTGAATTAATTTGACATCAGTAGCATCACAGCTGAGTCAAATTACAATCTAATGGTAGCTGACCGTGATTCCTCGATTCGATATCACAGTTGGCGCAATTTAATTTAATGAGCAGCAAAGTAATAGCTTTCTGGATAGTACACGAGAGTTAAATGGAGCTCTGTCACTAATGTTGTAGGAAATTTTCAGTTGTCGTGTGCTTCGTGATTAACTCATTATGGATCGAATAGTGACGTAATACGATTTTTAAATGTAAGATTCTTGTAAAATGATATACCTAACTGGAAGAAGAAATAGCGACGAAAAAATTATTAAGCAAATTCTTGGAATTCTTTTTCATAATTATAATGTTAGAAAATAGTGTTCAATAATGTGAACTGATGAAAAATTGCATTAACGCAATATTGATCGTTAATGGGTTAATCGGCGTTTAATTATCCAGGGCGTTGAAGAAACAGAATGGGCTTGCAATTTTCATACAGGAGAGTCAAAAAATGCGTTATTTAACAAATGCCAATAGAAAACAATCTTCTCGATATAAAATGACTTACTTCTGTGTTTGGGGACTGTTCAGATCGTAAGCGAGTCTCTTCGCGACACTATAACTCGTGAACAATAAATAATGTATTACCCACTGTTATTCGTTCATTACTAGTCATATATAATTACATTTATTCCAGTCAAGGATGGAGCAAAGCACACACTAAATAGTTAACCGAGGAATGAAAGTTCCGCCAACCCTAACCTAACGCCGTACTCAACACTTTCTGTTGAAGGTGGTTGAAGGATAATTTTGAATTAGGTTAGTTTAGTTGAAGCACACTAGCGGCGTAGCGATCGGTCTTCCTGAGGCGGGAGAGTCGCAACGGTAATGTTTCAAAACAAGGGATGTTCGATTCACTATTAGAAATCGATTCTCGAATCGATTCTGAATCGAATCATGAGAACCGATTCTCTTCAAAAATCGAAATTAAAGAATTGTTTTTGCAAGAATCGATTCAAAAGATCGATGTTTTGACCAAAAGAATCGAATGGGAATCGAACGTCCTTACTCAGAACGTTCGGGAATTAGCAAGAATATCTGCTAAAACAGTACGAGTAAAAGTGAAAGTAAAAGTAATACTAAAAATCTGTGTATTAGACCGCAATCGTATTAATACTGTAGTAACAATATGTTGTTTTCTCTTTGTATATTAATATTTAATCATTCGTTTATAATGTATATTTTGTCTATCTATATAAAGTATTATATGTATAGATATAAAATCTATCTATATATAATATATATAGATTATAGTATATAAATATATAGTATATATTAAAAACGTTTTGATGGTCTACATTAACTGTAACCTACAACACTTTTCAATAATCAGTTAACACGTCGACGAATAAAGCTAAATGCAGACCCCACGGGGTAAAACTTGATTCTCTGTGCTACTCTCGACTGCGATACAACGACTTTCGATTCACATTCGGATGTCAATTGTGTCCACGAGCGCGTATCCGTGGTCTCGCGACAAGCTAATACCATCTGGACGGCGATGTAACAGGCTTTATTCGTTGCGCGTATATCTGTATCAGCCTTAACGGCCACGCGTGACGATTTTAGTTTAAGCTCTTCACGATCGATTCAGAACACAAAACAGGTGTATTGTTTTGTACAGTCCATAAGTACACATATGTATATACAGGGTGTGTATACCGAAGTTGTTCGTTCCGTTTGTATAATCAGGTAAATGGTGACGAAATATATTGTGGATTTAAATTGACCGACAGAATGGTATGGAAATATCCTTTTTTTTTTTAATTTCTTTAACTCTTCCGTTCAGCCTGTAACCATGTGGCCATGTATTTCAGATTACGACATGAAGTATACATGTATTATCGAACAGAATTCGAGTGGTGAGTATTGTTCGAAATACAATAAAACCTTATAAAACCCTAATTTCTTTCAAATGTATCAAGAAGCTTCCTCTGATCACAGGTAGGAAAATAGATTTTATTAAATGTAATAATTAGACTGCGGATTTTATGCATTTATAGACTCTAAGCTCTGTGAAATACAGTAAATGGTAAAAGTGCCATCGGATGCAACGAGTTTTTTTGTTTTATTCTTAACTCAATAAGATACTTAAGAGAAGAAAGAAATTCCTACTTTTGTTCTTGTCCAGAAGAGATACTTCATAAAATTTTATTTTGCATAAAAATCCGCAGTTTAGTAATAATTTTGTAATGTACAATTACTATACATAACTGCAGGCCCCGTTTAAGATTTTTTGTGGCCCAGGGCTATCACACGTTCGGGGGTTTCTTTGGTTGAAAAGCGGGAGGGGAGTGGGGGGTAAAATACAGAAATTTTAAAAAATTGAGATTTATCCCAAATAAAATTAGATAACATTTAATCATAACGAACAATGTTTCATTACATTCCAACAACTTTGATCCGATCTGTTTCTACAAAATTTCATTTAATTACTTTTAAAAAATTACTTTTCAAGTAATTGTTTCTTTTAATTACTTAATCCGACGCTGCATAACTGTGATAAAAGTGAAAAAGTCAGCGAATAGGAACGATAGGAAAATGGCGTCTAAACGCTTTCAAACTACAAAAATGTTCTTGACGAGCATTTATATGTCGTGTAATGTAGACAAAATGAAAAAAGAGAGATATTTTTTCCGTAATTACTAAATGTAATTTTGAGAATGAAAAGTTATTGTTCTCGTACCTCTAAGTCCGGAATCCGATGATTGACCAACAACAAGAATGGCGGATGTTCCCGGGACAATTCCCTTTCGTCGTACGCGTTGTACGATATCGGCTGTCCCTTCGCCATAGTGATTAAAAAAAGAGGCACCAGAACCTTGATGAACGTCATTCTCCCGAGGACCAGCGGAAACGAGTTTACCTGAAACAATGAACAAATTAATAGGAGTTGTTCGTTTTGAATAATTTATTATGATTTCTTTCTGACGCACTATACCGATAACATGCTTCAAAATTACAGTCGGTTTTACCTTTCAAGTAAGATTTGATGTCGCCGGTCATCGGTGACCGTCACGGCACAAGTAACGATTCGAATGCCGATAAGTGGTGACCGCCACGACATAATGAACAAATCGAATGATGCTCACCGGTGACCACCCAAGGATGTAATTAGGGAATCAAATGACGGTCACCAGTGTCCACTAAGGACATAAATCAAGGAATCGAATGACGGTCACCGGTGACCACCCAAGGATGTAATTAGGGAATCAAATGACGGTCACCAGTGTCCACTAAGGACATAAATCAAGGAATCGAATGACGGTCACCGGTGACCACCAACGACATAAATTAAAGAATCGAATGGCGGTCACCGGTGACCACCCAAGGATGTAATTAGGGAATCAAATGACGGTCACCAGTGTCCACTAAGGACATAAATCAAGGAATCGAATGACGGTCACCGGTGACCACCAAGAACATAAATTAAGAAATCGAATGGCGGTCACCGGTGACCCCCACAGTGGCCAACGTATTAAATACTTCTAAAAAATTGCTACGCGTACGGAATAGATGGATATAGTTTTATGAGAAACGTGAAAAGTTTTTTTGAAGAGTGTTTCGTTTTCAAGCTTCAGAAAATTCTCGGATTCTCGTCAAGAGGAATGGGGGGGTAGAGAGAAAGAAAAATTTTCGTCTCGTCTCGGATTGATTTCACCGGCATTCTACAGGAGCTGGATATATCAGTTGAGGCTACTTCGGGCCACGCCTGTTTGCACTGTTAACATCCGGTCCAAGGGTGTCTGGCCATTCACAGTGGCTCCTCTTTGATGGAAGTGCCATTAACCTCTTCCCGCTATGAGACACTTATACGCCGCGCGATTCCTCCTTTCGCTTTCTGTGTCTTCATCGTTTCTAGACTCGGATGAGCTGATTGAACCGAAATCTGATAAACAAAGGTGTAGTTACTCGCAGAAATGTCCGTTTGTTTTATACGTACCCTACATTTTAAGTGTTTAATTAATGGTAAGGTCAAAAAATTAATATTTTTCATTCATGTTAGTACAAATTGTGAGCGATTTCCTTTAGATTAGATCGCATTTGAAAAATTTTCATAGTTTATTTTGAAAAGTATTTTTAATATTTAAAGCTGACAGAAAATGCAAGAATCGAATTCAACAAAAAACTGGTTGAATTAATAACTTTTGAGTGTTTAATTAATGTTAATTTTTAAACAACTACATAATTTTCAAATACTACATATATTAGTACTTCTAACTTCAACACTGATTATTTAAATGTATATAATATGTTATACATATGGGATGGATGGATACTTTTGCGAGTAACTGTCCGTATTACACAATCACAACTAGATGGATAGACGAAAATTGCAAGTTCATACTATTTCCATTGATAGGAAATAATGAGTAATATTCATGGCTCGTTTGAAATACGATAAATCAATTGATTATTTTATTTTATTTTTTTTTTTTATAGAATTTACTTGCTTTTGATGCGTGAATGTTGCACCTTCATTGTATTTGTGCTTTATTTAGGCATGAAATAGTTTAAATGTTAAATTGGATATTTAATGCAAAGAGTTTGATTCTTGAAATTATGTGTATTTTTATTAAAAAAATTGTAATACTCCGGGAACGTACAAAAGACACTTCTATTATGTCAGCTATTATTACCGGAAGAATTATTGTTAAACTAATTCGAAGTTATTTGTTCAAAGGGTTAAAAAGTTACTTAAATTATGAAATAAACGAATTCTGAAGTGTCTGATGACTAGACTGCGGATTTTATGCAATTATAACCCATAGGGCTCTGTGAAACAGAATACAACACGAAACTTTCATTGGATGTAAGGAGTTTCTTATTTTATTCTGAAATCAATAAGATACTTTAGAGGAAAAAGGAATTCCTATATTTGCTCTTATCTTAATAAATTACTCTAACAAATGCCATTTTTACGCAATCATAGCCTATGGGGCTCTGTGAAATACAATAAAAGACGAAACTTTCATTGGATGCAAGGAGTTTCTTATTTCATTCTGAACTCAATAAGATACTTCAAAGGGAAAAAAAGAAATTCCCATGTTTCCTCTTATCTTGACAAACTACTCTAAAAAAGTGTCATTTCCCATAAAAATCCGCAATACTAATGACCAATGGACAGGAGTGTATGTGGACACTATGGTACCAGACGAAATATGTTGTCGATCCTCGAAATATTTCATAAACGATCCGAGAATAGTCTCACGGTTATCCACCACGGCGCACGCTATCAATTCGATTACACCGTCTGCTTATGTCTGTGTATCCGTTGTACATTATATTTAGACGAAGGAGAAGGTCGGGCACGACGGTCGACGAAACGGGCAAGGTCAAGTTCGACAGCGTGAATGAATCTGGGTCGACGACGCGACAGGTCTGAATGTGAACGAACGTATCCGCGCGGAGCGTCCTCGTCCGTCGAGTGTGCGTCTGTATACGTGTCCCTGTGCATGAGTGAGAGAGACAGATAGTGAGAGAGACAGATAGCGCGAGAGATAGATAGCGAGAGAGTTCATTAACACCGGAGTTGGGGCTTAATTTGCGCTCGGTAATTTTCGGTTTGCCGTTACCCCGTCGGCTCTCCAATTACGCCATCGGTGTTCGTTGGTTGGCGCGCCGGACCTGTTGGTCACTGTCCAGGGGGCGCCACCTTTTTCGTCGGTGTGTAGTGCAATTTCCCATTCTCGTCGTCGCGGTGCTTTGTAATTGGCTGACGGAAAACGGACATTTTTTTTAATTGATCGGTCGACGGCCACGGCCAGTAACCCGACGACACGTCGCTGGGGGAAAAAAGCCTCTGTGCTACGTTGGGGACGTTCTTGCGGTCGAATTAAATGGGAAACGTGGATGAAATTGCAGTAATTATGGAGTAGTATAAGTAATTGGAGAATAGTGGTAATGATAATATGATCGTGTTATTAATTGTATAGTCGTGTAAATGAATGGAGCAGTGTAAGTAACTGTACTGTAGTTGAAGTAACTATATATACTACTGTACGAAACTAGAGAATAGTTTATGTAACGATAGAGTAGCGTAGGAAACTACATAGTAGTATATAAAACTGTGTAATAGTGTAAGTAACTATACGGTAGTGTAGAAAACTACTTAAAGTATATGTGACTATGGAGTAGTGTAAGAAATTACATTGTAATGTAGAAAACCGTATATGAGGAAAAGTAACTATGTAATAGTGTAGGAACCTATATAGTAGTTTAACTAACTATACAGTAGTGTAGAAAACTACCTAAAAGTATAAATGACTATGGAGTAGTGTGAGAAATTACATTGTAGTGTAGAAAACCGTATAGGAGGATAAGTAACTATGTAGTAGTATAGGAACCTACATAGTAGTTTAAGTAACTATACAGTAGTGTAGAAAACTACATAAAAGTATAAATGACTATGGAGTAGTGAAGAAATTACATAGTAGTGTAGAAAACCGTATAGTAGTTTAAGTAACTATACAGTAGTGTAGCAAACTACATAGTAGTGTAAGGAACTAAATAATAGTGTAAGTAACTATATAGTAGAGTAGAAAACTACGTAAAAATATAAGTAACTATGGAGTAGTGTATGTAAATGGATAGTAGTGTTGTCAGTGATATTGTTTCTGATCTGGTTAGTCGAAATGACGGAGAACGATGGGGTCAAATCTAGAAGAGATAAATAGGGTATTATTTCGGAACGAATAGAGAATTTCACAGGAAACAGTGGAATAGTTATTGGTATAACTTATACACAAATGCATGTGGAAATTGAAATCGCGATCCATTAAGTGTCTCGTATTATGACTAAAAAGAAAAGAAAAAGTTTAGTTCAAAGTGAAGTTGTGTAAAAAGAAAATCGTTTATTGACTCTAATCATGCAAACATTTATATGGAGTTTAAATCCCTTGCACTGATCTGCAATATTAAAATTAATTTTTCAAAATAATCGGTAGTTTATTAAATGAATGATTTAATGTTACTTTAAATAAGAACACTGTAAGGACACTAAATAAACTTATTTACAAAACGTTCTATACATGGAAATGGTAACGTTAAAACGAACTCTGTCACAAGTTTTCCTCCCACTTGGTCCCAGCGCACTAGTCTATCGTCATTGTATCGCGCTTTGTTATTGTCCTCTGGCCGCGACCAACAAACAATCGTTTTCATTGTGCCACTGGACGATTAAATTCTATCGATAATGTCGATACTCTTACAGCTCCAGGAATAATATAGGGCGTCAGTACCTGCTACAGGAGGTGATTCTAACGCGACAAAGCTACGGTCAGGCTTATGTTAAGTATCAACTTCACTGTTTTACTATAAACGATGGAATTTTTAAATTTATAAAGATCAATACACAATTCGTCGCCCGAGTTCTTAACTGTTCTAACTCCATTTAAAAAAAAAATATAGTTAATCGATCTGCGTGCGTGTCATTGGTCCGAAGACTACAAATTAACCATAATATAAAAAAAATTCAGAAACATTCATTTGAGAAAACAACAAATATACTTTTAAGTCCTGATTCTGAAACTTCGATAGTTTCTTCTTAATGGTTGTATCTCCAAATAGTAACGACAATTAAAACTTTGCTGATAATAAGATAAAATTTTGGTAAATATTGCAATAAACAGCTATTCAATAGATGATATTATAGTGTGCTTGATTATTTCACTACTTTCCTACTTCTATAATATTAAACTTCATAAACTTTACACTCAGTTTTCTTAATTTATAAACTAGTAGGGATAAAACGATTATGAACTAGAACGACGAATTGCTGTACAGATCACTTTTCAAGACGAGAAGTTCGGTTTTAAGCGAACACGTAGCATTACT